AAATCAAATGTGACTCTGCTAATGTTGCCAACACACATGATGCAATACAATGTCAAATGTGTATATTCTAAAAAGCATACTCCATCAAAGACCCTCACTTCAATGATGACCCTCTGGGTATCCCCCGACCATAGCAAGCCACTATGGATGGACATTCATGACAAACACTTGGCTTTCACTCACTCCCCTGCTTCTGGGAAAAGTTGAACTGATTGTTGATGACTTTGTTCCTAAATACATGGCAGGTTGTGATTAATACCACATGTTGGCCTTTCATTTAAACATTTTTGTTGGATTACGGGATTATACAAAGTTGAATTAGTCTTTTTTTTCAGTGACTGGAGGAAACTGAAACCATGTTCCCACAAGCCTGTTCGGTGAAGGCCTTAATGACCTTCAAATTACCTTATTTAGATGTTCTTGAAATGCCTAAACTTAATGCACCAGCTCCTCAAAAGCCTTTGCTCCCGATAAGCTAAACCAGTGAGGCTGATAACTTGGCCTGTATGGATTTTCCACAGAACATTTTGCAAGAAAAAATAGTCTAATGGCATGACCTTTTAATTTGTGCTTAAATTTGGGATAAAGGGGTATCTTGGACCTTGTGAAGCTCAACCATCTTGAAAATCATTTTGGTGATCAGTACGTCATATTTTGGATGCTGCTATGCTGGTTTGGTGCCACCAGTTCGAACTCAACTAGCTCAGCCAGCAAGACCACCATTTTCAACCAGCTTCACCAGAAAAACTACGGTCAACCAGTTTCTTCAGCTACATTTCACTTATATTAACAGCTTAGAGTTGCTTCACTTTGAGCTTTTGAGTGTACACTTTGTGCGATACTTTGCACTTGATGTACAAGAAATACAAGTAGGAGCAGGATAGCCTTCATGGTCCTCTGATGAGTGATTCCTCAAAGTCAGCTCTCCTCTGCTGAGCATCCTGAAAAAAATCTGCTGCCCTTTGTCATTCTGGATGCATCAACAAGGAACTGATTTCATTCAAGTTTATTTGTTCAACCCCTAGTTTGGGGGGGCAGTACGGCTCTGTCCACCAATCAATCCATTCCCACAATGTTTTGATTCAAGGCCCAGCAAACAAGCATGGGGGGGTCTATTTATTATAGCAAGAGAGACCCCACGAGGGGTCGTTTGATCGCAGCATGACAGAAAACAACAGTAGCCCACCACCATTGCCATCAGCACCCTGCAAGCAGAATTCAGTGCAGATTAAACAGAAGAGGCAGTTACAAACACAAACGGCTTCTTCGGTCTGGGAAAGACTGCACATGATAGCCTTGATGCTTATCCTCAAATGACCTGAATCAAATGTCCTCGGGATGCAAGCATGACGCGGAGGTTTATAATCTTCAGGATTAAACAAAAGCATGATGTGTTTTGTAAGGAAAGCTCTTTTGGGTAAAGCAACAGTCTTTTGGTGTTGCTTCGACCATCCAGTTTAAGTCAAACTGCGTCCTGTTTAGGTTGCATTATGAAGTTTATTGTCGGATCCATATCGCCGTAAATGATTCTAGAGGAATATTGTGTTTCTTGAGGTAGTGCAGTTCTTTTTGCACACTAGCGCTAAGACGATTAGTCTTACTTTTAACCCATCGACTCTCATCCACACATTGGATAATGGATCTAGACAAGGTGCTGAGAAGATGTCAGCAGGATTTGTCAGTCACTAACACCTTCCCTCCAGAACAAAGCTCTCTCAAGAACGTCCAGCAGGGCTTTTTTAGTACTGCTTACTGCGTACTGCCTTCACAAACCATTAGAAATCAGACGATTGAAATTCTTTTCTCCTCTTCTGCCGATTTCCTGTTCTCTTCACTGAGCCGAATGTATAATAAGCCAAGTACGCCTTCGCTATTTTTCTTGTCCTGCAATTAAGAGGTCCGTTTTTAGGCAGATTTTTTATGATTCACCATGAAATCATGAGTGTAAGTGGGTGGACAGGGGATATAATCTCAATAAAATGGTAGGCCAATTAGTCGTCCGCAGCAGAATTGTGGTCGCAGTGTTTTTATCTTCCATGTTAAAGACTTTCACCTTTTCACAAGTGTCACAGTGGCTATTTCTATAGGTGTCCTTTACGCCAGTTAGCATAGCCAAGAGTACCTCTCCTTGTATGAGGAGGTCAGCACTTGTGTCAAAAAATCTGTAGGAAAGGCCTCATTTAATGCAAGAACACGACTGTATTCAGCAGTTAACCAATTAAAACCATGTTCTGCATGAGCAAAAAAATGACCTTGCATGGACAGACTGCCACTTTCAAGTGTATGGATCCTTTCTTTTTTGGTTTTATTTATTTTTTCATGTGAATTTAATCTTGGTCTTTGGCAATTTTTTGTTTTGTTTTGTTTGTTTATCTAATATGCTATAGGGTCAAATTTGCTAATTAATTTGAAGAAAATTACATTTATAAACTCAGTGACTCTTTGACTCTTCTATGACCAGCATTTTTTTTTATTTATTAAAAATGCTGAATTAAAGTTAAAATAATTTAAAAATATTTTTTATATTTTTGAAAAAAAAATTTCAGTCGAGTTTCTCCAAAGTAGTTAGACTTAATTTTGTATTATTATTTCTTGGAAAAAATGTTAAATTAAACTTCACTGGTGCACTTGCAGGAAGATGCAGAAAAAAGCAAAAATATATTGATATTTATGATTGATAGGTCATAGTATTTGTTTAAAAATCATTTAAATATATATATATATATATATATATATTTTTTTTTTTAAATGATGTCTAAAGTCACATGTATTATGTAAATTATTTATACTTTACTTTACATTTGCCCAGTTAGTATCATAATGTTTTTCTCCTCAGGTTTATGTTTTTGTTATTGCAGTCATGTGTTGGGCTTTGGCTTTATTTGCGGTTTCTGCTATTGAGCGTGACTGTGCATATGTTTCTGTGAATATCTTGGTGTACACACATGTATAAATGTATTCTCGCCTCAGCAAGTGTGAAATTCAAGTTCTCACAGTGGCGCACACACATTGCATTCATTTGTACGCCGGTGCAGTATCTGCGCACCAGTGACAGAAGTTCCCTTGTTTCTTGACCCACTGCTCAGGCCTTGACCCACTGCAGTGAGAGACTGTCTTTGATACGCTGATGCAACCGCTCGGTAACTGCTTCTCCAGTCAGTGTTATGGATGATTGCCTTGAGATGGAAGCTCTGGGGTCTGGAAGCTATCGTGGATCTTCACCGTGACCCCTGTCCTCCGGGACGGACCGCCTGCAGCATCAAGGCCTCTTGTAAACGTCCAGGCGACCTTGAGAGCTCCAGAACCACCGGTGCTTCGCATTTTCTTAATGTTTCGTCAGTCATGTTGATGAAATCAAATGAAACTTGTCTTCATATCTAACCCCTGCAAGTGAAAACACTGCTCATCTTCAAGTAAATATTTGGAAATGTTTCGTCTTGTGTACATGTTGATGGTTTAACGATGGAAGTTTAGCACAGCAGATTGTTCATTACAGGAGTGTTAATGTCTCTGTCGGTTGGGTTAGTCCCGGTTAAGCCGAGTCAGTGCTATTATTCTGTTCACTTTCTGAAGATTCATGCCGTTCATTTACTGTTCAGGATTGTGTGTGCATTCACACGTTTCAAGAGGCCTTTTACCATGTACTCTCTGATGCCAGTGCACTAAATTGACATGACAAAGCTTCTCTAATGGACTCCACTAATTACAAATTTGTCATTTTGGTGATGATTAATCCAAAATGACATACACTTATTAACAGAAACAGCCCTCGTGGAGTGATCTAAAGTTGACTTCCTCAAGGACACAATGCTGATTTTGTGATCTGCCCTTAAAGTTAAACCTATGACCTATCAGTTAGCATCCTAGATCTTTAACCGCTAGGCTACAATATCTAAAAAACAAGAATCTAAGAAACATGCATGATGGTGCACAACACAATATTTTATTTTATTTAAAACGTGTGATGGTGCACAACAATTGTATTTTTTATTTATATTTATTTGTGTTTTATTTTTTTAAATTCATCATATTTATTCATTAATTTTTATTTTATTGATTTTTTATTTTATTGATATTTGTATTTTATTTTTTTTACATTTATTTTATTTAAAATGTGATGGTGCACAACAATTAAATTTTTTATTTTACATTTTATTTTATTGTTATTTTGTTGTTTATATTTTATTTTATTTGTTTTATTTGTTTAAATTAATCACAATTATTCATTCATTTTTATTTTATTTTATAAATTTTTTTATTTTTATTTTTTTTTAGAGTTTAACCTCTCGTAAATGAAAAGCACTGCTTTTCACATCCACATGTTTTTTTTTTTTTTCTGAAGGTAAAATAGTTATCATGCTAAAGCTGCACGTTTCAGACGTTGTGTGCTCGGCCTAATGACGCAAAACACGTAAACGCTTATTTATTTCTGTTCATGTATTTTGTTGTCTGAGCCAAGCTGAAACTAAATCTCAGTTTTATTTTTGCTGGGAGGATGCCAGTGTTATTTTTTCATCTAGGAGCAATAACATTTGATTGCTCTTAAGCTGCTAAAGTTGCAAAATGACTTACAGTTGAAATAAATACACTTGGAACGAAACACAGCGGAACTCCAGAAGTTCATGTTTGGATGGAAATGCCTCATTTTAATTGTGAACATGTGCTTTTCGTTCTGCTCAAACATCTTCGTTTACGCTCCGTCTGCTTTGTGTGTGGGTTTTTTTAGGGATTGTTGACTTACAGTAAGTTATTATTATTTTTTTTTTCAGACACAAATGTAATTGTTGCTTTTGCGGTGCATAAATGTTTATATGGGACAGTTCGGTCATATCTGAGTGTACACCTTACTTCCTACATTTTTTGAGGGATTTGAGTCACTTTTCGTGGTCATTCAAAGCCAGTTTATCCTCCAGATCAGTGAAGCCGATCTCAAAGATCAGCACTTCCACTTTTTCCCAGCATAATGTTGATATGCTCTCTCTGTCGTCTCTCTGTCTCAGGACACTTCCAGCTGTCCCCCACTGTGAATATGCCCCAGGACGACACAGTCATCATTGAAGATGATAGGCCACCTGTTCTTCCTGCCCGCTTGTCTGACCAATCATCATCCAGCTCCCACGATGACATGGGATTTGTGACAGAAATGCCAGGATCCTGGCCCAAAGATGTCCAGATACAGGACGCAAGGTAATGTTATCACCTACCTCAGAATCATCAGGACATTAATGGGTTGAATTAAGTACACTGCATATTTGATCAATTTCAAGGTGCACTCAGTGATATTTCCACTGATAAAGAAGTAATCATAAACGTACTTTTGAAAAATGATGTCCATTTACATGAGATGAAGACTTCAGTCATATCAGTATCCAATTAAAAGTGTGTCTGTTAATTAAAATAAAAGATTCCCGTGTGTGTGTGTGTATGTATGTATGTATATATATATATATATATATATTAAAACACATTGAAATAAATAAAAAAATAATTAATAATAATAATAATAATAATAATAATACATTAATTAATAAATAAGATTTATTTTAAAAATAAAATATAAATAAACTAAATAAAAACATGAAGTAAACAGACAAACAAACAAACAAATAAATAAATAAATAGTAGTGGGGTTATTATAGTTAACTTAAAGTAAAACAATAAAAAATGTTTGTGCTTAAAATATTATTGATAATTGCTCTAGAGTGTGTGTTTAGGGCAACATGCACATATATCGCAGACATGATTTAACTGCGTTTGGAGATCAGCCAGAGAATCACAGCTAGCTTGATGACAACTAATGCTCCTTCATTTAGTGCCGGTCTTTAATCACCACAGTCCCGGGTTCAAACGGCCTTCTCACCTCACCTAAAACATCAAACCATCAAAACAACAAAAACGAAACCTCATTCTGAACCATAAAATGTTTCCTTCAAGCACAAACAGCGAGTCATTTTTTTATGCATTATTAAAATGTTGTAGTCTTTGGCATTCAGTGATTGAGGAGCGCATTGGTTGACCTAAGCTATTGTTTTGTGATGTCTCGTCCGTCATAAAGGCCAAATCACAGCCCATTATGTTTCCGCACAGCGCTGAAATGTGAGAGCTGCTAAATAAACGAGTGCGGTGATGGTGACAGCAGGGAGGACGATCAGTGTTTGGGCTTCAGTTGAATGTTTGGGCTCAGAAGCATTGTGAGATATCGTGACGCTGCTCCTGTCTTGAATATGTGTGTGTAATAATGCATACGGTCTGTGCGCTTTAGCAGAAAGTCTGAAAGTCTTACTGTTGGAAATTTAGGGTACTTTTCACCATGATATAACATTTTCATCATAGCTGAAATCTATTCTAAATAGTCTGTAACGTGGTAGAGGAAATCCTTTTTATTACAGCTATGGTGGTTAAAGCGGTAGCTGAGTTAAATATGTCGAGATCATTTTTAATAACATACAATAATTGCATGGATCTACCCATGCAATTAAAATTAAAAATTAAGGTTCTTTATGGGCATTGATGGTCCCATGAAGATCCCTTGACATCCATGTGTCTACGTTTTTTGTTTGTATTAGTCAAATTTCCTTTTTAGTTTTTATGAGTTTTTAGTCTAGTCTCAAAATTAAAATCATGATTGTTGTGATTTCATAAATTCCATCAGAAGTATTGCACTTTCACCTATAAGCATACATATGGTTAATTTGACCTCATCTAGTTTCCTGATTTATTAAATAATCATAAATATAAACTCAAAAGCAAAAACAGTGACATTCCTAAAAGTAATTCTAGTAACTCCATATTATATTCATGCATTTCTAATAAAACAACATCAAAAAAGACTTTGTATTGTGACTTAGTATTGTGGTTGCGTAAGTGCATTTATAGTCCAGTATAGTGTATGTACATATTTAAAATATAGTCAAGATCATGCTTGGTGCCTGATGCCTGATGGCAGATTTAGTCGAAGCATATGTGTGATTGAACACAGGCTGACTTCTTCTGAGCAGAATATCTCAATAAAGATTGCTAAAGTCCAGCTTACATGTTTGTCGATGTTTTCAGATCATCAGCACTTTTCCCGTAGCGTAGAAAGACCACATGTGGATGGTTGCCATATTGGGAAGATAAAGTAAAACACAGCACGGCTTTAATTGGGGGATTTAAACTCTTGCCATCTGGCAACCGCAAGCATGAAAACTCACAGAGGTCTATATTTTTTCTCCTCTTTTTTGTTGAAGAAAATATAGAGACATTTTTGATATAGAGAGTTTTTATTTTCACAGTCACAGTTAGTGTTCAACATAAAACTGCTGCGAGACACCATCCAAAGAAAGAAAGAAAGAAAGAAAGAGAAAAAAAACTAAGAAAAACATGGGTCTTCTATGGTGAAAAAAAAACCCTTTCGGCAACCTGTATTTTTAAGAGTGTATGCTGTTCCAAACACAATTTCTGTCTTTCTTTATTTATTTCTCTCTCTCTTTCTCTCTGTCGTGAAGGATGGCGTCTCGCAGCAGTTACCTGGGTTCATGCACAGAAGCGTATCTCTCATTAACACATTAGGGCTCCTCTCAAGACAAATGGCTCTTTAGCAGGGCCAAACCACAAACATTAATAAAGTGACCTAGTTAGAGCAGAAGCAGCCATTCCAGTGTGCATGAATGTTTGTAGCCAGTGTAATAACGGTCATTAAATAAAGTCTAATGTTTGCTTGAGATGCGTTCATGAATGCAGGTAGAGCGATAAGTCATAGGAGGCCGTCCGTTACAGTCATTTTATCATGGGATGATTTTGGTGGTGAATATCATTGTATTGTATTGAGTATTGTCAAGAACATGCCTGGATTTTACAGTATTTCACCACTGAACTAAAATAAAATAATAAAAAAAATAGGAAACCCCTTGTGTTCTTGTTACATGTATTTACTATAGTAACAGTGACAGTAAATTATGCATATTTAACAGCACTAACACTAAACCAAACCCTAATCCTAATAGTCACACGAATAAATAAAAATAAAATAAAATAAAATAAAAATAAAATAAAAGGGTAAAAAGCAGTTTGAAATCTCTTTTGGAGCGATATTCTACATAGACACTGGTGAGATTGGCTTTTAGAAGAATATGTAAATATGTGCTGTGTGCTGTCCTCTCAATAACAAAATAAATACAAACATGACAGCGATGAGAAAACAGCAGTTAAGAAAGCATCTGATCATAGCGATGTGGATGTTTGCACCATGTTTGCAGTTCGGTACTCCAGTCAAGTCACATCGCTTTTAATTATAGCACTTTATGCAATAGACTGCTTTAAAGCAAGCAGCTTTACAGTATTAAACATGAAAAAAACAACAACAACATTGTCAGTGTCACTTCCAATTAAAATGACAACTTTAGTTTCCACTATAAATCAGTTCATCAGTGTGTTCATGTTGTAACTCACGGACACCTGACCTCGACGGACTGAACAGAAGAAATGAACCAGAGAAGATTTCCACATCAGAAAAGGCGGAGCTACAGAGCCACACCCACTTATTACATAATCACCACAGACCAATGGGAGTTTGAGGGTGTTTGCCAGCCGGAGTGAACTTTTCCAGAAAATGTTTCAAACTCCAAATGAACTCAGTTTTGGTCTGCTCTTGTTTGAAACCACTTCACACCAGTTCATTTTTCAGTTTAACTTGAAGTATATCAGGCCTTTAGTCCAGTGTGTGTGAGTCAGTCAAGGAGTTGTATATGCTAGAAGAGAGAGAACAAAAATAATTACAAGGGAGTTTGGAAGGAATTGAGAGTCTAAAGAGAATATATTGACCTTATCTTCAGCATAGGGTGAGCTCTCTGTCTCCAGTCGATATCTGCAGACGGCATGCATCTAATCAAGCATCATAACACCTCGATCAATACCAACAACACACCCGTCTGCCCTCGCTAATACAACACTTCCTACACATCTACATGTGGACCAAACGCTTCACACCACAGCAGTCTTTAGTATTGAGGCCAGAGCAGTTACTGCGCTGATATCCACTCTCCATTCTCTGAACTTCTCTCTCAGTCGTTGGATCCTCTAAAGCTTGTTTTGCTCCCATGCTCCTCTCAAAGTTCAGACGTGTTTTTGCGATTTGCATCAGAGCTCCTATCGGTCTGCAGTGCATTATGAACAGCATGAAACTCACTCTAAGTAAAAGGATTCGTGACTTCAAACACTAAAGAGGAAAGTGGGGACTAAAGGAAAGGTTTTCTGTGAGCGTGATGTAAGTAGGAGGCTCACAGGAACAGATTTTGACACATTTCAATCCCAGGGAAAGTTGCGACGCCTCCGTTTGTTTCTGATGAGGGAATATGAGTGAGAAACTCGAGTCTCGAGTGCCTTTTAAACTTTTAGAACTCTGTTTAAAATATTGTAAAGAGACGCAAACACTGATTTTCACTAATGCATTATTATTATTTTTTTCTTAAAGTTTTATGCATGAACATATACATTTTTAAATATAAACATTTAAGCACTTTATGAATAAATTAATCATGAGTAAAAATATGGCTGGGTATTTCTACAGCGGCATCAGTAACTAAACCTTTTGTTTTGTGTGATGCTGCATCCACATCTTTAATAACCCAGTTTTATTAGAATATGTTATAGAATTAACAATAAAACAATGAAATCTCTGGGTATTTGCAGTACAGATTATTTTATTCAATTTCTAGGACTTAAAAAATATAGGACTAATTTATAATAATAATAATAATAATAATAACTAATGTTAACTAATGAACCTTATTGTAAAGTGTTACCATTATTATTAAACCATATAATAAATAATATAACATGATTACATGAATTAACAGAAATAATTCCAAATAATAAAGTCAATCAATCAATTAATAAATCAGTCAGGCCATAGGAGTCCTAAACATACATACATACATGCATACATTATTTATTTATGTATGTATGTATTTATTTATTTATTTATCAACAAACTACAACAACAACAACAACAATAATAATAATAATAATAATAATAATAATAAAAATAATAATAAGAAGAACAATAGCATTTTAATTAATTATCTAATAAATCAGGAAAATACCTTTTTATTGTTTTAGTAACAAATATCACTGTTCACAATGCAATGCTGCTGTCATTACTATCATGGCAAGCATTTTAGAAAACCACTTGTTTGAAGACAGTTTGAAGACCAGAACAATTTCTTCATCATGATCTGAAAGCAGTCATGGTTGTGTCTGTGTCTTTACAGCAATAAAGGAAGATTGCTCAAACCCAGTGATCAGGTTTTATTTCAGGACATTATTCCATGTTTTTTAGGAACTTTTTCATTCGGTCAGTCCTGTTGTGAGTCTCTGCTTCACTATATTTGGCCTCCATTTCATCCAGTCCATCTCTGCTGCATCTTGCTGGTTTTTACTCCGTTTCTGTTTATTTTCGGTTTGGAAACACTTGCTTTCAGTATCTAGATCTCATGTCTCAGATATATTTTTTGTCATTATGTTCTCTCAGGGACACACAGTGTGTGTGTGTGTGTGTGTGTGTGTTTGTTATGAAGTAAAAAGGAATTCAGGATGAACAATGCATCATTGATGTGTTTGTCCTCCTGTTGCACTGAGGGGATGCTTCTGTCGGTGGGTTTGGGCGCTGGTGTGACCGTGTAATCCAAGGACTGGAAACACACAGTCGCCGCAAGGCTGGAAGAAAAGTGCTTTAAACTGAGTTGGGTGGAGTAGAGCTGAGTCTATAGTGGACTGATGGAGAAAACTGCTCCAACTCTACCGTGTGTTAATCTCATGCCGATCTCTCTTACTTCAAATCCATTTCCATTTTATTTTTTTTCTGTTCCTTGATGAATTTTATATTAATCATTTATTATATTAATACTTTAGTAATAGCAATCAAATTATATAATAAAAAAAAGAAGATATCATTATTGTTATTATACAGGTTGCCAACATTTTTCAGTGGGAGCAAAAAAATAATAAAATAATAATAATAATAATTATTATTGTTGTTATATTCAGTTTTCAGTAACCCTATAAAATATAAAAGCAACAATGACAGGCAATTTATTTATGTATTTGTTTGTTTGGTTGTTGTTGTTGTTTGCTTGTTTATTATTATTATTATTATTATTATTATTATTCCTTGATTAATTTTATATCAGTCATTTGCTATATCAATATATTAGTAGTATCAATCAAATTATATAATAAATAATAATAGAAAATATTATTATTATTGTTATCATCTTGCAGGTTTTTCATGCTAATATTTTCATTAAAAACAAACATAAATAAAAAACAATGACAGGCAATGTTTATTATTATTATTATTATTATTATTATTATTATTATTATGTTCGTTGATACATTTTTTATTGATAATTTAGCATAATAATATTTCAGTTATTTCAATCTAATTGTATAATAAATAATACAAAGGAAAGTCATGTTTCTCCTGTCTTTCAGCACACTCTGTCCAGACGCAGATATGGATGACATGTTTCAGAGGGAAGGCTTTGGCCGGCAGAGCATGTCAGAAAAGCGGAGCAAACAGTACAGCGATGCTGCTCAACTGGAGATCGTCACGAGTCGCAAGTCGAAGAGTATGGACCTAGGTAACCTCACGCTCAACACCAGCACTCCCCAAACCACTTCCTGTCTCTTACCTCGCTGCTTCCTGTTCCTTTGCAATCCAGCAGCGTGGTATATGAGCCGGGGTGCGTGCGCTAGCACAGCTCTTAACGTTAAAGCTAATAATATCAGGCACAGCAATGACTACACCAAACTTAAAAGAGCACAGAGAGTTGTTAAACATTACAAATGATGTCATGAAGTCAAAAACTGACTTTTTGCGTCCCTTTCTCTCCTAACTAACATATGTATCACTCATCTCTCAGAGAAGGCCTTCAGCTCACCTCTGAGGTGGGTTTGAGGGACTCAAGGACAGGTCAGGGTTGTTGAGAGCGTACTGGCCCGTCTCAGGAGACGCAGAGCTTCTGCCGCGTGGCCGCGTGGCTAATCGGAGGAGATAAAACATCGCTTTCATCCTCTTTATCCTCAGCCAACATCAAGACCACAGTCTCCTGAGACTGGACCAATGCCCCGCTCAGTCAGGACCAGACTAGACTCTCGAGACACGTCTCGCTCTTTACACTTCACTAGCAAACGTGAAATGAGCGGAAGGGGATATAGCACTTTAAAAAATGAGAAAAAGAGGGAAAAGGAACATCATTTGGCAGCAGATGAGACCCGTTTCAGTGCCTCATCAAGCTTTAGTTAGACTCTGGATATGTGAGTTGAAGTGTATTACACACATCCGTTTTGGTGTTCAGATGTTACACACATAAACGCATACAGTACTGTACCACAAATATACAGTAGCCCCAACAAGTTTTTGGACACTCAAAGGGTTAAAGATGCCACAAACTGAATGTAGTTCAGTGTTATTAAACAGCACTTACTTACTGACACGTAATGGATCATGACCATACTTAATAACATAACGTAACATAACTATTAATGTATTGATGTATTATTAATGTACTACTAATAATTAATGTAATGGTTACTATGTTAGGACACCTGTTAGATCTTTTAAAATACTACTACTACTACTACTACTACTACTACTAATAATAATAATAATAAATAGTTATAAATAATAATCAAAATTGTTTATATAAATATTAAGTTTTTTGTGTAACTTTTATGCAATATATATATATATATATATATATATATATATATATATATATATATATATATATATATATATATATATATATTACCATTAAAAAGTTTGGACTCAGTACTTTTTTAATACTATTATTTTGCAAGGTAATTAAATTAAATCCAAATATTTCTATTTCAAATAGATGCTGTTCTTTTCAACGTTCTATTCATCAAAGAATCATCAAAATAAAAAATAAAGTAAAAAAAATAATGCATCATGGTTTCAACAGAAATACTGGGCAGCACAACTGTTTTCAGCACTGATATTAATCAGGAATGTTTCTTGAGCAAATCAGCATATTAGAATGATTTCTGAAGATCATGTGACACTGAAGACTGGAGTAATGATGCTGAAAATACAGCTGCGCATCACAGAAATACATTACAGTTTAACAGATGTTCACATAGAAAACAGATGTTTTAAATTGTAAAAATATACCATTATATTACTGTTTTACTGTATTTTTGCATACAAGACTTCTTTCAAAAATCAATATAATATCTTACAGACACCAAAATTTAAACGTACGTACATAAATAAATAAATAAATAAATAAATAAATAAAGGAGCTGCCTTTAACAAAATTGGATAAACTTAGGCAGTAGTCTGAGAAATGTGCTTATTTCTTCCCCAGTTTTACACAATAAATAAATGAAATGCATTTAGAGAGGACAGATGTGGCCGTCATTTCAAACGAACAGCATTTCAAGCCCTCTCCTCTCGACTCATTAGAAGCACATTTCAATTCCACCAAATCCCCTGTGTTTTGTTCTGATGAGCCATTTTCTTCAAATGGCATTTCTGCCTTCAGGTTGAGTATATCTTTTTGCTCCTCTCAGGCTTTTAGAAGAACACAATCTCCAGTAACAGTCTAAAGACAGATTTGAGAGCCAACATGGGGAAAATTACAGAGAAAAAATAAATACAAAAATCAGACTTCATGGTTTCTACCCTATGTGTGATAAGACTGAGAGGGACAAAAAAAAGCAACTGGTTACACCTGGTTGATAGAGCTAAAATCACCTAACACATATATCTGCCCAATGCTTTTGAATGTTATCGCATGAGAATTCATTAAATTCTCTCTCACCATCTCATGGGTTTTCCCACTTTGACCGTCTGTCTCTGTCTCACGTCTTGTCTCACTTTCACAGAGTGATTTGCATGCCGCTTGGTTTGGCCTTTGGAAATGTCAAGTAACATCTGTAATGGAATGAGTTGCATGGGTCTGGGAATGGTGGAACGTCTTGAATTAACCAATCACAATTGTTTATGCCTCCCTAACAGTAGCCGACGAGTTTAACCTCACTCCCCGCACTGAGAGGACCGAAGGTAAGGCCACCGGTCAGGGACACTAACCTCACGAACACACCGGATCTCTGAGTGTCTGCGCATGCTGATGTTTTGGTGGACTTCTAATGGTGTTTTTGAAAGATTTTAAACACTTTTTCAGATAAACATCTGGAGCTCTGTTTCAAAACCTAGTAAGCCGCCAGCAGCTGCATTATGTTGCCACCATATTTGCTTCACTTTGTTTAAAATCTAAAGCAGCTTTGTGTGTATCCTTCATGCAGGAAGCAATCCCAGGATGCACTGGGAGTATAGTGAGAGAAAAAAATCAAGATGTAAAAAATGTTGACTAATATTTATTTATATATGTATATATATATTTATTTATTTTAATTCTGAATATAAAGCACTATTTTATCCAGTATGTATTAGCGTCATTAGCATTAGCAACATGCTAATTAGAATGTCTATTCTAATTAGTATATTAGAATTAGTCTATTCTAACATGTCTATTAGAATCAATTGAGAGAAATGTATATTTTATTTCATTAGACACTAGAAAAACATTGTTTAAAGTTTCAGTCTATTTAAAAGTGCACTTAGTTTGTATTTGTGCCCTTTAGCTTAGCAGTTAGCTAATGTCAAACTCAGTTGAGAAAAATGTAGAGTACAGTTTATAATATTTCATTAGTTACAGTGTAGAAAATAATAAAACAACTGTATAATGTATAATGTTTCTCAGTTGGTTAGAATGGAGTTTGGCATTAACTTCACGTTTCTGTCTAATTAAAAAAATAAAAATAATAATAATAATAATTTCTGTTTTACCCTATATTTATTTGCCTTTAGCTTAGCAACATGCTAATGTCAAACTATTAGAATCAGTTGAGAGAAATGTACTGAAGACTACAGTAGTATTTCAGTAGATATTTAATAGTATAGAAACCATTGTTTTAAGTTTCTGACTATTTATAAATGGACAATTTAAATGAGTATTTAGGCAATTTTTTGTTAGCTTAGCAACATGCTAATGTCAAACTCCATTCTAACCAATTGAGAAACATGTAGACTACAGTTGTTTTATTAGACTCTAAATAGTATAGAGCAAAACACGTCTAATTAAAAAATGACAATTTTGGACAACTATTAGGTATTAGCTTAGCAACATGCTAATTTTAAACTCTATTACAATCAGTTGAGAAACAGACTACTGTTGTTTCATTATATACTGAATAGTACAGAAACATTGTTTTAAGTATTATTCTAATTAAAAATAGTCAAATTTAACCGATATTTAATTGTTTTTAGCTTAGCAACATGCTAATGTCAAACTGTATTCCAATCAATTGAGAGAAATGTGGACAACCATTGTTTCGTTATATAATGAATAGTACAGAAAATATTGTTTAAAGTGCTGATCTAATTAAAAAGTCATTTGTATTCAATATTTATTTGTTTTTCCCTGTTGAAAAAAACAGCATATGCTGGTTAGGTATGTTTTGAAGCTGGGATGCTGGTTTGAGCTGGTTTAAGCTGGTCCTTTGCTGGTTTATGCTAGTCATGTGCTGGTCCTAAACTGGTCCGACCAGCTTAAGACCAGCACACCAGCTAAGGACCAGCACATGACCAGCTAAGGACCAGCATAAACCAGCAAAGGACCAGCTTAAACCAGCTCAAACCAGCATCCCAGCTTCAAAACACACCTAACCAGCATATGCTGGTTTTTTCAACAGGGTTAGCTTAGCAACATGCTAATGTCAAACTCTATTAGAATCAATAGTGAGGAGATGAGATTCCATTATCATGAAGATGCTCCCTATGTAGGCAGTAGACAGCAAGACGACTCACTAGGTTTTGGAAGAGAGCTGCAGTATTCTTAGAATGACAAATGAACAGCGCGAGACCACCGGTGACGGTGGAAATGAGTCCAGCAACAACTTTAATCTGCGCTTGGAAAAATGCCCCCCCTTTGACTTCATGACTCTCCTATCTGCTGTTAACTGTTAGTAATCAATCTAACTAAACGACTGTGTGCGTTGTGCTCGTTAAGGAAGTCATTTGAAGTAATTGCCATCAAATCAGAGAGGGTGTTGCCGTCTTTTTTTCCCATTGAAATGAAGTGCCATGGTGTTAAATAGACGTTTTGGCAGCAACTTTTTTTTGGAAAGCAAAGCGTGCTGTCTGTTCTTGAGGGACTATGATGGAAGAAAACATTAATTATGCCGAGGGCAGCTGGAATGGGAAAAGAAACAGAGGTGTGTATGTATGCATGCATGCATGTGTGTGAGGAGAGATTGCTGAAGTTCTGTTTGAAATAAAGAGCCTCAATGTCAGACTGCAATTAATCCATCAATGTCAAGCGTCCGGAGCAGAGAGTTCTAGTTGCAGCACAGCGGAGCAGTAGTCATGCTGGGAGATGCCGAAAATTCATTCTGTCAAAAAAGTCAAAGCTTTTCTATATTAAAGTCAACATGAAGCGCTGTTCGCAACCCTTTTTATTTCTATTAAACGAGAGATGTTTGAAAAAAAAAAAATGTGGACAGGAATTGTTAAGATAGGAGTTGCATATTAATCATGTTGCTGAAAAACTCC